GGTGCACTTAAAATGAATAGTCAGAATGGAAAGACATGTATAGAGGTGGTTTGGGCTCCAGTATTCATTGAGTTTTATATCATATATTCACATGTTGACTTTCATATTGTTTTTTATTCTGCTGTTTCAGCATTAGTTTTCTCCCCTTCTGCTTTGTAGTGATGTTTGCTGAATTGGATAAGATTTCATTATGCATTTCTGGTTTTTAAAATTGCTTGTAGAATGCCTCAGGGATTTATCTGCTACGTGATTCATTATTGGAAACAAAAGGCAGCCATGTAAACAGATAATAGTTTGTGTTTGCAACCTTTTTCATATTGAACTGAGCCTTAAATTAAAACTTGGAAAATTATTTACCTTTATAGTCTAAAGATTCACCCCCATTTAGTTGTGGAAGTGTGGTTTTTTTAATTTAAAAATCTGCTTTCTCTTTTCTCAAAAGTAACTGAAGGAAATCTTTTATAATTACTTTTTAAAATACGTGAATATTATAAACTGCTTCTCTATGATGCAAAACACTGAGAGTGTAGAGTAGACTGATATAATCCTGTTCAATGCAGTTAATCCACATTCTGAAACTGAATTATTTGGCAGTGTAGATCCAGCCGAAGTTACTTTTCTCTGTACTCAGAGCATACAACTAGGATATATGTCTCATATAAGAGTATCTGAAGGATTGCAATTACAGTACAAAAAGAGTCAAGCTATTTCCATCCGGCCGCAATAGTAATACAGTATAGCTTACTATAGTTAGGTTTTATTTACATACATACATCAATTAACAGAACACATTTTAAACCTTCTAGAGATCATTTGTAGACTTCTTCCAAAATGTATCAATTTATCTTTCATTTGCTTCCACTTTTCTTATGATTTCCATTTTAGTGGCCAAACTAATAGATATGTGTGGGGATTTTTTAAATAAAAAAAACTATATTCAGAATAGTTATTTTCTCTCCCCGTTTCTATTCATGCAATATTCAAAAAGAGATTCTGAAGGAATTGCTCTTTATCTTTTTCATGGTATGTAGAAATGGTAATGGCACTCCATGAAGTCATGCTGGCCACATGACCCTGGAGGTGTCTATGGACAATTCTGGCTCTTCGGCTTATAAATGGAGATGAGCACCAACTCCCAGAGTTGGACATAACTGGACTTATGTCAGGGGAAAACCTTTACCTTTACCTAAACATGCATGGCTATATTAGGATCAGCTAGAATAAATCCTGCTCTTTTACAGCTTATGCTTTACTGCATTACTGTATTGTCTAGAGACATGATGCTTTAACCTAACATAAAATGTCTGTGTTGCTCCAGTCATCCTTCACCATTCTCCCACTTGTGCTAAATGTCTTTCAGCTAAACAGAGAGTGTGGAGTGTGGTGGAGGCTTCTTCTTTGGAGGCTTTTAAACAGAGGCTGGTTGGTCGCCTGTCAGGATGCTCTGAATGCAATTTTCCTGCTTCTTGGCAGGAGGTTGGACTGGATGGCCCATGAGTTGTCTTCCAACTCTATGTTTCTGTGATTCTATTAATGATGTGAAGGGCTACAGAGGTGTACAAAGTCTTTGTAAAAAGAAGATGCAGTATCAAAGGCCTTGCTAACTGAGGTGCATAACTATTGAAAATAATTAATTAGAGGATATTAATTATGTGTAATTAGTTGTTTATAACTTTTGTCTAATTGTGTTAATCACACAGCAAAATAGCATCTATGGAAGAAGTGGGTACAGGAAGTGACAATGCAACGAAAGATGGAGAGAGATATGAAGGCACATATGTCATTGGATTACAAATTCTTTTTTTTCTTTCTTTACCTGTAGGATAGTTGTGCCGCTGCAGCTACTCTAAGGAAGGAATTCAATAGCTGACATTCTCAATAACTTTCTTATTGAAAGGGGGTATGCACCTGTTGAATTTCTGCCTGCCACATGGCTGTGGAAGGTTGCTGCAGTTTACAAAGCATGTAAGCATGATTCAGAGGTTTCTGAATCTACAAAACCCTCATATCACAAGCTTCCACTTGCTGCAGCTGGAATTTTGGCTGCAAACCAGGCTCTTAGGAAGCAGCACTAAGAACATCAAAGTGGGCCTAAATTCTTTGTCAGGCCTGCTTCCTTATTGTGTGGCTTTCCTCAGTCATTAGAGATGAAAGCTCAGACAGGAGGAAGCAAAGATAATGATAGTGACACGCAGGGTAGCCAAGAACAAACAGGAGGGGACCGTGACGTCCTCAGCAAGGGGTATTTCTGAGTGTTAACAGTACATTCAGTTACATCTCAGTAGTGCTGTTACGGACCAAAACAGGCTCTTGACTTTATGTTTAGGTTTTAAAGGGAGAAAAGAATGATAACCTCAAAGAAAGAGAGGGGGGGAGAGAACACATAATTTGTATGCAAGTAACATTATAATAATGGAAAAAATATAATTGGTTACAGTTAATGAAAGCATAGCTAGCTTTTAAACAGGGGGGCCTAAAGCGTTCATGCTACTTTGTCACAGAGATAATCATTTTAAGGCCTCTGCAAAGAATTGCATTAAAGGTTGAACATACATTATTTCAAGTTCTGAAATCCAAAGTTCTCCATAATTATTTATTTACAACATTTCTTACCCGGGAGGAGGCTCAAGATCGCTTGAGATTTTGTCCACCTGAGTAGCTGAGATAGTGATACCTTTGCTTTCTGGTGGTTCAGTGTACACAAACTTTGTTTCATGCACAGTTAAAGCTTCTTCGCCAGCTTTGCCCGCACCTTGGGAAGTCTGACTTGGCCACAGTAGTCCACACTCTAGTTACATCCCATATAGACTACTGCAACGCTCTCTATGTGAGGTTGCCTTTGAAGACTGTCCAGGAGCTTCAAACGTTCCAACAGACAGCAGCCAGATTGCTAAGAGGAGCAGCACTCTGTTGCATCAGCTACAGTGGCTGCCTGTCTGCTACTAGGCACAATTCAAAGTGCTTGCTTTAGCCTATAAAGCCCTAAATGGTTCTGGCCCAACTTACCTGTCCGAGCGCATCTCCCCTTATGAACCCTCCAGGACTTTAAGATCATCTGGGGAGGCCCTGCTTTCGGTCCCACCTTCATCACAAGTATTCTTGGTGGGGACGAGACAGGGCCTTCTCAGTGGTGGCCCTTCAGCTATGGAATGCCCTCCCTAAGGATATCAGATCGGCCCACTCCCTTTGAACGGCCCACTCCATTTTAACATTTCAAGCCATGAGGAGAGGTGGGTAAGAAATAAAATAATTATTATTATTATTATTATTATTATTGAATCAGTAAATTGTGAGAGTTAAAATTTTATCTTAATTGTATAAATGTTCCATATTTGCTGAACATTGTTGCCTGCTGTTAACATTGTTGACATACATAAATACATATATAACATTCACTCACCCATCTGGAGTCCCCGGTGGCGCAGTGGGTTAAAGCACTGTGCCGGCAGGACTGAAGACCGACAGGTCGCTGGTTCGAATTTGGGGAGAGGCGGATGAGCTCCCTCTGTTAGCTCCAGCTCCTCATGCGGGGACATGAGAGAACCCTCCCACAAGGATGATAAAACATCAAAAATCATCCGGGCGTCCCCTGGGCAACGTCCTTGCAGACGGCCAATTCTCTCACCACAGGAGCGGTTGCTCCTGACACGACAAAAAAAAAAAAAAACAACTCACTCATCTATAGGCATTTAGGTGCTATACATAACTTAGAATGGGCAATTAACATTTGGTTTATAAATTGACCAGAACAGAAATACGGGTATTCTTGATTTTCATGATTTACACTAGGGAATTCAGTGATAAGAAGTATCTTAAACAAGGATACTGTTTTGTTAGTACGTACTGTCACATTTTGTTTTGAAATTATATGCACCTCTGGATAGGTGGCCAAGCTCATTCCATTTTTTTAAAAAAATCCTTCTCATCCATTAAATCATGTTTAGATTACAATATATACTTGAATATAAGCCGAGTTTTCAGCGCATTTTAATGCTGAAAAAGGCCCCATTGGCTTATACTCGAGCGAAGATCCTGGCAGGAAGGCATGGGGCTTTGCAGGCCTTCTACCAGCTGCGTGCCTCCTCCTCTTTCGGCACAACAACCCAGCTGTGTCTTTGTGCCGAGAGGGGAGGAGAAAAGGTGCATAGCTCATCAGCCATGCACCTCCTGCCAAACCAGGCCTCTCCTCTTGGCACAGCCATCCAGCTGAGTTTCTGTGCCAAGAGGAGAGGCTGCACACTTTGCTCTCTTCCTCTCACAGCACAGAGACCCAGCTGGGCCACTGTGCTGAGAGAGAATAAAAGGAAAGCATGCAACTTCTCCTATCCTCTTGCCACAGCAACCCAGCTGCATTACTGTGCTGATAGGAGAGGACAGGCAGGGAGCCATGCACCTTCCTCTCCTCCCCTCTATGCACAGAGACCCAGCTAGGTTGCTGTGCCAAAAGGGCAGGAGGTGTGCAGCTGATAGAAGCTGGGTTGCTGTGTTGAGAAGAGAGGAGACGCTGCATGCCTTCCTCTTCTTCCCTCTCAGCATAGTGACCCAAAAAAGAGAGGAAGACGTGCGGCCTCTCCTCTTGGCACAGCAACCCAGCTGGGTTACTGTGCTGGGAGGAAAGGAGAAGCTGCATGCCTCAATTAATGTAATTTTATGGTATCTATTTTTATTTACCAGTAGCTGCTACTGGTAAATAAAACCAGTAGGGTGGCATTTGCCACCTTAGGCTTATACCTGAGTTTTCCCAGTTTTGTGGTAAAATTAGGTGCCTTGGCTTATATTTGGCTCGGCTTATACTCAAGTATATATGTTATCTTGTGTCTGAATTGGTGGCAAAGCTGTGGAAGGAGGACTGAGATGATGTTTTTTAACCAGCTCAAATTCCACAATGAAAAGGAAAGATAGCAGTTCAGAATAACCAAATAATCATCAATTGTATAAGCATCCGTTGTTACCAATCACAATTTACTCCTTTTTTTTAATCTCTCTCCTTTTTCCCATAGGGCTAAATATTTTCAAGGAAAGAAGGTGAATGGGGAATTTGAGATTCGTGTGGAACAGGTCAGTGGGCAATAAAAATTTCTGTCAAAAAAGGATTCAGTCATTCAATACAGATCTGACTTTGCAGGTGTCAGCTATGAGGGAACCTGAATTAGGTTCTTACATCAGATTTAATTTGGTTTTCTGTTATGGCAGTTTGTTCTTAAAGACCTGGAGTGTTTTTCCAGGTGGCTGCAGAGCTGAGTCATGCAACACACTTTAATATTTTGCTTGCTCTAAGTAAAAACATGGCCTTTCTGAGAAAAAAAGTTGTTGCTTTTAAGAAAAAAAATCTTTTTAAAGCAAGATTGTAGAATGTTTTAGATGTCCAAACCATTACCACTCCTGTGAAACAACCCCAGCAACATTGGTTCCCATTTGTTTTCTTGCCAAGTGTTTTGTGGTGCAGAGGTTTTTGACACAAGGACACTTGCCCCCAGTTTTAAAACCTACATTTCTTATACATTTTTATAAGATGTCACTTCCCCTTTAACATATTTAAGTTTTTTCTTCAATATTCCTACAGCCCGGTTTGTGAGCAGAGCAAGACAAATAATCTTCCCCCCCCCCCCCCAGAAACATATTGATTTTGGAATAGAAAGCCTTATAAATTGGTTACTCTTTTCCATAAATTGCTACAAAAGCTCTCTCATCTTCCTCCATGAATAGCTTCAGATCTGGTGGTTTTGGTTCTTCACTGAATCTCCAAACTTCACACTTGGTATGAAAATAGGTCAGGCCTTTCTTCGGGTTATTTGCTCTGAAAATACCTTATTTTCTCCAGACCTTGTTTTAATGTCCAAAACTCCACAGATACTATCATAACTTACCTTCAATCCATAGACCCTCATTCATTTACAAATCCTTATAAATCAAGAGATAATTTTGAGCTCTGTGGTTTAGCTGGACTTCATAATCTGCTTATCACATCTCCTATCATCAATGTATATAAAAGATAGATAGTAGAGTACAATGGTATTAATATAAAGAAAATGCATACTAAAATACAATGATATTCCAGTAAGTCAGTCGTTCTGAACATTTGGCTCTTTCAATGTTTTAACTTCAGTTTCCCAAATCTCTGAGCATTAGTCTCTGAACATTCACTATTGGCTGTGGTTTCTGGGAGCTGAAGTCCAAAACATCAGAATTATCTGTTGTTAAGAATCACTGTCCATTAAGACATCCTTGTATATCCTTGAAGGCTGTTGGAAATGCATGAGCCTAGTGTCTCACACTGCAGAAATTAATTGTTTTCTATACAGCTAGTGGCTATTATGGTTAAATGGGGTTAGACTACTGACCTTCAGGATTTTCTTTGAACTCTACAGTTCTATGGTTTTGTGATTTAACAGTTAGTCACTGCACACATAGAGATGAAGGATATTATTTCAATAGTTGGATGAAAATAAATAAAATAATAATTGGAACAGCCTGGTACCTTGGCTTTCCTGCTGTCTGACTCACAGCAAATAACAATGTGAAGACATTTTAGCTGCTGTTTATTCATTGCAATTCTTGGCTGCTTTTTTAAAAAGAAGAGCCAAACAGTCATTTCTGAACAAAGCTGGAGGTGTTCTTTGGAAAAGCAGAGGCGTAATTGCTTATATAAACCCACTTATTTCTTGTTTCTCATTGACATCTTTTGTCAAACTGTTTTTTCAGGACATATGGGGTGATAGTATGAGACAAGCCTGGTCAAAAGAAGTGAGTGTACACATTGTGATTTACTGATCACTTTGTCATTACCACTTCTATCTATCGATCTGTTTGACACTGTTAACCTGGAGAAGAGAAAGTGAAGAGAGCAAACGTGTTTTCTGCTGCTCTAGGACATAGAAGAATGGGTCCAAACCACAGGAAAAGAGTTTCCACCTGAATATTAGGATGAACTTCCTGGCAGAAATACCGGGCCCTGGGGAGGTACACCTGGAAACTACAAGGCGTAGAGCTTTTTCAATCTATGCTCCAATTCTGTGGAACTCATTGCCTCCATATGTTAGAGCAATGTCCAGACAGGGCCTTTATTGCAAGAACTCCCACAATAAAGGAGGGGCTGTCCAGACAATGTTCTGCACAATCCCAAATTAATTCGATAGATTAATTAATTTGATAGTTCATTTATTCTGCGTTTTCTTGGAAGGTGCAGGATAAATGCACTATTTCTGGTGTCTGGACTACAGTCCAGACACCATTCCCACAATTTGCTGGGCTAAATAAACTGAGGTAATATCCACCCACTCCCCACAGGCCTCTGGATCCTTTACAAAACTAAGAAAAACTTATGTAGCCTCTATTAGAAGCCCTGGTGGGCTCTTCCAATGTGTAAAAATGATGCACCAGGAGAGTAGGGGGTGGAGGAGGGAGGAAAATGCGCCTCATTTCTGCGTGCCAGGAAAGCCTGTCGGGGCTTCTAATTAAGGCTACATAAGTTTTTCTTAGTTTTCAAAGGGGTCAGGGACTTGCAGGGGGGTATGGGTAGGGCCTTCACATTACTCTCAGGCTAGTCCCGAGAGCACATGTGGACAACCCACCCTAAAAAGCACGTACTTTCTGGGGTGGGTATGGACAGCCCCCCAAAAACATCCATTTTTTTAACACAGATGCTTTTGGGATAAAGGGCTGTCTGGGACCACCATTGGCGTGCTAAGGAATCTCCTTCTCTGGTGTTTCTGTAAAAAGGCTGGATGTCCATCCTTTAGGGATGCTTTTGCTTGTGTATTTTGCATGTCAGGGGTTTCAGCCGATTGGCCCTTGTCTCTTCTAACTCAATAGTTCTCTGACATATTTGAAAAACTGTGAAGCGGTGAAAAACAGCGAAAAACTGGAAACATGAAATGGGAACAGAATAGAAGCCCAGTTTGTCCCTTCCTCATCTTTCTGTGCAGATGCCATTATCTGCCACAGAACTGCATTGTCTTCTGTGTTTTAAGCATGCTGGCAGATAGATGTCAGTCATTGGTGGGGTAGACTATAGGAATCATCAAGTTGCCAGTGGGAAAGAGGAAGTGTAATTCATAGTACTGTAAAGAAACAATCAACTCAGAAATAAAGTAGAATAATTATCAGTTTGTCACCAATTCTCTCCACCTCCACAAATTAAAAATATCTTCAGATTGATTGTGGAGATTGAATAGGCATGATTATCAGTAATATCCAATAAGAAACCAACAGAAACAGGGTTTCTTTGGTTCTGACTGATACTTGAAAAAAAAACTAAAGAACCATTTTGAAGCTTTTTCATTGTGGTATTTGTGCATCACACAAATTGGCCTCAAGCCTTTTAGGGAAATCATTGATATTAGTACTATATATTATATATATATTATATATATTAGTGAATTCTGCCCTCTCCTTCCTAGGAAAACATGGTTCTGCACAGTTGTTTTATATCTGTCATTGAAGCAACTTTGTGTATAGAGTTTTCGACACACAAAATTGCTTAGTAAGTTATTTCTTCCTCTTTTCCACTCTTTTTTAATTGTTAATATCTCTAATGATTTTTTTAAAAAAAAACAGAATTTGTTAAGATAGATTCATACGATTTTACTACTTTTCTGTGGACTTAAGCCCAAGTGTCTTTCTATCTTATATAGTCTTAATGGCACTGTTTACAAAATACACTTCATGTGGATGCAAAATTTCCCTGCAACATCACCACTCCTAAGATCCTAGAACAAACCATCCTGAGCTTGAAATAATTAGAAATCACTGTGATGTCTTGTGGTTTAGGTAGAACGATTTTTTCCTTTGAATGACTTATTATTTCAACCATCCATATTTGTCAAACACTATTAGTTGTGCTAAAGAGTAAAAACAGATATAGCTTTCAGTAGAGCAGTGTTGTTTTCTGTTTCTTCTTGACTTGCCCCATCACTCTAAGGAAACACACTAATCACACACTTGTATGATGCACAGAGATCACCATGAAGGAGAGCAGGTGATTTGCCTATAACTGTGGTTCTTTGAGTGGGCATGTATGCTGGCACAAGAACCCTACCTACTCGCCAGTTTTACAGGTCCACATTGGATTATGAAACTAAAGGAGGGGTATCTTTGAAGTACAGGTGCGTGCGTGTCAAGAAGGAGAAGGTAGGGTTCTCATTAAAGTTACTCAACGTGAGAATTTCATAGCTATCCACTAAAAAGAAGCACAATTACAGATTAGCAATCAATTTCTACTTTAGGTCATAAAATGCATGTTCTTAACATAGAAAAGAGAAAAGAAACAAAACAAGAAAAAATGTCAAATATCTTTCACAGTCTTCTATCCTGTGTTAGTACAGACTCTGTGTTAGAGTCACACTTGTTTTTTTTAGATAAAGCACAGAATAAATACTTAAATAATTCAATGGCTTGTAGATTCTGACGTGTTCAACTCTACTAACCAGTACAGTTATTCTCCATTTTCAGATCTTGAAATACCATGAAGGTTTTGCATCTAAAACAAGCACAAATCTCTAGTATTATATTTAGAGCTATTCAATGGCATGGCATCAAACTTCAGATGCAGTTCTACAAAAAAAGTTTTCTAAAAGGGATTTTAGGTCCTGCTTAACTGATTTTTTTGAAGTTTTCTTCCTGATCATTCTTGATTCCTTTTTTTTATTACTGCAATAGTCATAACCCAGAAATCTCATATTAATGTTGGATCCTAAACACATATTGAGTGTTTTCTGTGTAAAATATTCCTCATTAGACTTGTTGCCACCTTGTAGAAATTTAGTTGAGACAAACATTATATTTGAAAGAGAAATCTGCAAATAGGTCTGTCTATTTTGTCCAAAACCCTTAGTATCAAATAAGCCTCTTTTTGTACTATTTCATTCCAGGCAGAATTTTCAGAAATCAATTTGGCTGCATATGTGACTACTGGCTGTATGGTGGATATGCAAGTCATGAGGAATGGCACCAAAGTAGTCAGGTAACAAATAGTACCTTTTTTGCTCTTTACAGCTAACTTTTTGGAAAGTCTAACTGGCATGGGATGATTGACATAATGCAATTTTGTTTGGATAATTTGCTAGTTGTTACTTGTGTTTGTACATACAAAGACAGGGACAGAGAGGAAGGTAGACTACTGTGATTGGGATTTTTTAAAAAATTAAATATTGGAAAATGAATACACTTGTTTTTAAATGACTATTTTATCTCTTTTGTCCATATCTAAATAAATGTGGTTTTTTAAAAAAAGATTCTTAGACTCTCTAGATGTTTCACTAACAGTTCAATACATCAGAGCCTGCCTGAGCACTCTCTGACACCAATTCCCATCTCCTTCTCTCACGTGGTTTTCTCCCAGTCTGAAGAAACAATAAGCCTCTTTACTACAAAAATGTTGATACCACTGAAAGCCATGCAGGCTAGGGGTAGGGTTAGTTGAAACAGCATCTAAGCATCTTTGGGATGTAGCTAAGTTACAATGACTCATTTTGCTTTGTGTTCATATTTATAGATTCTGAAAAATACCCTCTATTTTGGGGGTTAATATAATTCATGTTGGTTTTCCCACATCACCTCAATCCTATTGACTATAGGGACCTATAGTGTTATATCTGATAGAGTGGACTTATATGGACAAAACTGTATAGGACACAGCAGACAAATGGCAGTGTAGGTTGACCTATGAAGGGAAAGAAGAAGGATAACAATACAGCAGATGAGTAGTCAAGACAACAGGGTGGCACTAGTCAGCTCAAACCAGAAATGTTTTAGAGAAGTATGTGATTCAGCACATCAGATAGAGGTATAACTCTTGAAGAAAACCTGGACATTATAACATATGGCCTTTTACTCTAGCAATAGTAATGTCTTTGCTGATGTGGAGTTATCTAGTAGTCGAATCTAGAACTAAGCCACGAGTATTTTTATTCAATCTAATTTAGTCTGATCACACTGAGAGAGAGAAGTTGATTTGTTTGTGGACCAGGCTGTGTGTTTGGGGTGACATTCTTGCATACGTGGCCCAGGGCGCATGTGTTTTGATATATATCTGCTCTGACATACTGCTGCAAATGCTCAGCATTTGTTCAACACATGTGCTGATTTGGCCCTTAGGAAACTCAGCAGGACCGTCTTGTGTTACCACCCTTGCAGTAATTCAGTAGACACTAGGTGGGGGAGACAGAAGAGATTCACATGCTTAGCACTGTAAGTGTGTTTTTAATGGGACTATTGGAAAGATTTCCTGACTTTCTCCCCCTTCTCCTTTCTAAATTCATTTTTAAAAATTCCCATAACATTCAAACTAATCTGTGTGGAGGCAGGAAACAGATTTCCGTCCAGTGTTCCAGTCTGGACTCCCACCTCTCATTGTATTCTGTAAATGTTCCCCAATTTTAACCCATGGCAAGTTAAGAACAGACAGGAAGCAATAGAAAATGCAGTTCTTTACTTTATTACCAGAGACATTTATCTAACATTATCATGCATTTAATATTAATAGATACATATACAAGCTTTTTCTATCTCTGAACATGATCTGCACGTATTTCATAAATAAGTTTCAACAATGATCAAATGATCAAATACTCTCTTTACATTTAGGGTTCTTATCTGATATTATGTCTTTCTCAAAAAAACTAGCATTGTTCTGTATCTTTCTATACACATACATGCCCATGAAAAACATTATATGAAACATTATGCCCTCCCAGCATAATTATATAGCTGTGTCCTTTACTGGAATCTGTATGCACACTGAGGGCACTTCCAAACTTAACTTTAGCATGCGCTGAAGCGGGTTTAAGAAACCCACTTCAGCGTAGATTTAAGTATGCACACTTACCCCGAAAAGCGAGCTTTCCGGGGGGGGGGGGGGGCTGTCCCCATTCCAGCTTGGTAACTATCTAACCACCCCCCCCCCAAAAAAAAAAAAGCCTTACCGTGCCACTGTTAGGACTCTCTGGAGCTTCTTCGACTGTACCAATGATGCACCAGGAGGCAGGAGGGTCCTGGCATGTCATTGGTACATTCCAGGAGAGTCCAGAGAGCCCTAATGGCAGTGCGATAAGGTTTTGTTTTCTTTGGTGGGTTGGGGGGGGGTTAGGGGTGCCCTCTTTGCCTTTCCAGGCTCATGGGGCCCAAAGAAGTGAATTAGGATGTGGAGACAAACTACTGGGTTTACCTGCTTTTGTCTCGAATTACTTTGCTTTTTTACCTGAGCAGTCATTTGGATGCTTCAGGTAAAAATCCGACAAGGCCCGGGATATGGGCCATATCTGAAAGGACCCTTACTTGGGAGTGAATCTTATTGAACACAGTGGCAGAGCATATCTGAACAACTGAAGTTACTTTTTAAAAATTCTAAAACTACTATTTTAGGTTTTCAGAACTATAATTGCAATTGCATTTTAGTGTGAGTTTTTAAGAACTACAATGTGTACTAAAATGGTTTTTATATTTCAAAGGTCATGATATTGTTTAGGAATTCAAAGTAGATCTCTATAATTTTAATAGTTGCAAGATAGTGTTTTTGTTAATTAATAACAAACTTCTATATTATCTGAGCTAAACATAATTTAGCTGGGATCACATTTTAATATGTTCAGAACAATAATTAGAGATCCATTAATGGGATTCTTTCCCCATCATGACATACAAAGAAACAGACCAAAAAGAAAGAAAGTTGTAGTCTTTCTGAATCAACATCAGATTTCTTTGCCTGATTCTCAGTGGGACAAATGGCAAAAGGGCAGTAAGTCAGTCCTGAAGGAGAAATCTGCACAGCAAGGAGTAAATCTCCTTGAAGTGATTGTGTTAGTACTATGAGGGAGTGGTTTAATGCTGAGGTCTTTGTTTGCATTTCAACCTTTTTATCTGATAGCATTCATTCTTTACCCTGATGGTTTATAACTCCTTGTCATTCAAAACAATAGAGAGGTTGAGAGTCGTTCTATTTCCTCATTATGAACCCATTCATCCTTTAATTAAAAGTGACTTTCCTATTGATTCTGGTTGCTCAGTCCTAGTTTGTAATCTTGACAGGGTTGTGACCCTGTTGTACTAAAATCCTAGTTTGCCCATGACCTAAATATATATCCTCATTACCAATTTCATTGCAGCATATTTATTACAAAAATGTCTACCTCTTCTGCAACTTTATGCACTAATAGCAGCAATAACATAAACAAATATTCCAATTACACAATAATTATCTGAATTTAAAAGAGAGATAAGAGAAGCCAAATTAGTGCATTTAGGGTTGGATAGGTTCATTCAGAAAAGACTGAAATTTGGAATAAAAGATACAAATTTGGACATCCGATGAAGTTTTGAATCATGCAGGAAAGGCGGAAGTGGGGGGGTTGAATCCAAATTTGAAACACTTACCTTTTTTCGGAAATATCCTATAATGTTCTGCTGTCTCTCAAAGTTGTTTTATTTTTCACAACCATTAAGCAACTTTGGTTAAGGCAAGGGAATTTTTAAAATTGAATGCCTTCCTCGCCACAAGCGACGCAATGTAGTGTATTATATTTATCTATTTTTATAATAATAAAAAACTGATAAACGGTACTAGCCAGGTGGTAATCTCTGTTTGCCTGCTAGGATCTGTTGGTTGAGGGATAGGAATGTTCATAACTCTGAGACATGTGGAGGAAGTGGATTTCATTCTATAATTGCTTAGTTGAGCCAAGTTTCAGTGGTATACATCAATATCCAGGTCCATTATAATAGCGGTTGTCTCCTCCTCCTTCTTATCCATTATGAAAACCCACTGAAGAGGGTTTACCAGTTTTCCAGACCAGGTTCTTATTGTGAATGAGAAATTGAACATTGATGGGTTGTCAATTCTAATATAACAGAATCTGCCAGAAGTACACCTTATCTGGATTGTTATATTTCATTATGTTCTTATTTTAATTGTGTTTTTGTTTTAATGGATTGTTTTGCTTTTGTGTCTTGTGGACATTCTGAGAGCTGTTCAACAGTGAAACTCTCTGCCACAGAGTGTGGTAACCCACAAGGCCTCTTCCAACTCTATGATTCTATGATTCTGTCCCATATGTAAGATGCTCTGAGTTCCTTTGGGGAGATCGTGGCGGGTATAAAAATTAAGTTGTTGTTGTTGTTGTTGTTGTTGTTATTTGAAACACAACAAGATGAGTCCACAGCAGACACTCTACTGGCTGTTGTATTGGATCACACGTCGGACACTTCCCAAGTGTCTAGGACTGTGTGATGTATTGGCGAATAATGCGTGCAGATCCCAGTAAGGTGGCCTTCTGCAGCTGGCAGATGGTAATTTTGACAGTACTGATAGTGTTTAAATGCAGGCCAAGGTCTTTAAGCACTGCACCCAGTGTGCCAATCACCACTGGGACCACCTTTACTGGCTTGTGCCAGAGTCTTTGCATTTTGATCTTTAAATCCTCATATCGTGTCAGCTTTTCTAGTTCTTTCTCTTCAATCCTTCTGTCACCTGGGATTGCAACATCAACAATCCATAATTTGTTTTTTAACATGATCGTGAGGTCAGGAGTATTGTGCTCCAAAACTCCTAGAGTATTATTATTATTATTATTATTATTATATTACACCTTGATTTTATGCTAGGTACAGGTGATCTTCACTGCTTCTCTGCTAGCCTGCTAGTTCATTTGCACATGTTACTAGATTATTATTTATTTATTTATTTACTTTGCTTATATACCGCTGTATCTCAAGCCCGAAGGCGACTCACAGCGGTTCACAAACAGTAAAAACAGTAGAAACAGCAGTGGTTCCATACAACATATAACAATTGACTTAACACATTATCCATTAGCGCTTAATATAGTTTCATACAGTCAAAAGACCAATTGCCCATCCGTACCTTTATTGCTAGGTTGTGTAACTGGCAATGATGACCAGCATACAAATAGTTCTATCCATTTTGTGATATATATTTTTTTGCTCTGGTTAAATATGAGAGCTATATTAGCTATTATGACAGAGAAGCATTTCATCCCATATTAAACCCTTTGTTCATAACTTGGTGGCTCATGAGATCAGGCCATAAACATTGCTTAGACAGATTCCTGTGTCTTAACCTGCTGCTTTTACTAACACTATATCTTTTTTAAAACAAAAATATCAGGATAGATGGGTCTCTCAGTTTCTTAGTCTTTTTCAGCCTTGCCTCCAGTTGCTGCTATTAAACAGCTGCTGATATTGTGGGGAGGGTTATGCTCATTGGGGGTTTGCTTATCTTCTGGATGAATAATGTCCCTCTTTAACTTCTCAGCAGCTGGCCTCCAGCCGATGTGTGAGAAAGATGCTGACAGTTATTGGGAAAACATTTGGAGTAGAGACAGCTGCCAAAAAATCAAAAATTACTCTTACCAGACAAGAGAGAAACTTGGGATATTAATATCTGCCATGGCTTCTTCATATTCCAGATTCCTTATCAGAAGTAGTTATCAACCATCAAGTCCAAGATTCTTTATAATTAATAAAGAAAAATGAAAGTCCAATTGAACTTTGTTTTCTTTTCAAATTTGTATCATTTTTATCTTAATTTGCCACTTTTCATCATTGCTTTGTTGAGCTTAGTTTTGAGGAGAGGAGGAAATGAACAGTGAGAGGGAAGGCTAAGTCTACTTGAGATTATTATAACAACCTTGAGAAATATTTTTTCCTCTTAGTCGCAATGTTATTGGTTCTTTTCCCCCACTACCCTTAAATTCTTTGATATGGAAAGTGGTCCTGACAAGGGTTGACTTGACATGTCTGCCTCTTGACCTGTTTCTCCCTTTCACCCTCCATTTGTGCCTCTTTGAATTCCACAGCACTGTTGGTAACAGCTGACCTCCAATTAGAATGCTCATGGGCCATGGCTTCTAAGTTCTCTGTGTCTATGCCAGTTTTTAATGTTAGCTTTAAGCCCATCTTTAAATCTTGTTTGCTGTCCATCAACATTCCATTTTCAGTTCTTGAGTTGAGAGTATAGTAACGGCTTTGGGAGATGGTGATTGGGCATTCAGACAAGGTGGCCAGTCCAGCAAAGTTGATGGCGGTAGATCAAAGATGGTGGTCTTTGCTTTTTCCAACATGATGACATTTGTCTGCCTGTCTTCCCAAGAGATTTGCAGGATTTTTGGAGGCAACACTGATGGAATCATTCCAGAAGTTGAGTGTGACATCTGTAGATGGATCACATTTCACAGGCGAATAACAGGGTTGGGAGAACAATAGCTTTATACCATGCGTTTTAACTGAAACTTTGTTTCACCTTTAAACATTCAGAAGGAAATCGGAAGGCAATTGTTATACCTGTGCATCTTTGCAGAACACCCTTGTATTATTGAAGTACTTTCAAGTGGCATTCTCTGAATGTCAGTGACCATTTGGTTGGATTTGGTATCCCTACAAATGTCCCAATCCTCAAACACTCTCTGCTTCATTTAAAAAAATGCTGAACTCACAGAGTTCAGAGAGTGTTGTATTTCGGTGTCAATGTTTAGTGGAGAGGTGGCTGCCAAGGTAGCAGAAATGGTCATGTTTTCTAAGGTTACACCATTATGCAGTATTTTTGGCAATGCAGAGGGATTGGTTGATGCCTGCTGACAGAGCACTTTGGTTTTCATATTGGAGTTCTATAATGTTGTTGTGACCTTGGTTTTGGCTTTCCATCAGCTGAGGTTAAATAGCTTGCCATCTGTCTGATAGATGATTTCCATACCAGTGGGAAGTTCCCCATCAACAAGGTGCAGTATCATAGCGAGGAAGATGGAAAACAAGGTTGGGGCAATAACACATCCCCGACTGTGCCCTGGGCAGAATATTTCATTTCGCTTTCTCCCCTGTGATAACGGAATTCTATGGCATGTTGTGGAAACAAGGATTAGTGGTAAAGTTTTAGTGGAGACACCTTTTCCCCATGATAACTCTTTCAGGAGTAACTTTTCCTTCCTAGGGGTAGATTTCTCTCACTTCCCCGTTGTCTCACCCCCCATTCTTACCTATGAGTAGTTTGTATGTCAGATGTTTGTAATTTGAGGACTGGCTGTATAAGGTTCATTTTGCTAATAACACCCTTGAAATTCTAGCAAATATAAAACATTGTATTTAGCCTGAGCTTTATAACGATTCGGGGGGGGGGGGACCTTTGGATAGAGGGGTACTGTTCCATTAGCTGGGAGGAGACCAATAGGGGGTGCTAAGACAGTACATTTAACGGGGGAGGGGGGTTGAAGGAGGAAAACCATTTCCCCCATTTTCACTGGTTATGTCCCCTATCCCCCCCCCTTCCCATTTCATAAACGAGGGTTGTTTCCACGATGGGGACATGGATGGGGGAATAACAGGAGCACAGAGGAAAATGGTTTTACTCCTTCAACCCACCCTACCCACCATAAAATGGACAATCCTTCTCTCTGTAGTGCTCTCTAGTGGCCTCCACCTGGATAATGGAACAGTACCAATATAGGCTTTAGATTACAACGTAAGTATGATCTAAGTGTGCAATGTATTGAAGAGATGAGAGGCAATCATTGCACGTACCTCTTGGTGTGTCTGCACTGTCTTAGGTGCACAATAATGATGTTAAAGTTAAAGCTGAGAGTAGTCTCCAGCTGCAAGGATTCAAAATGGCTGTTTTTCCTCTATTTTCTGTGCAGCACACTGTAAAACTATCACCAGATTCCCCATCTCCCTGCAAGTGCTCAGAAGAGAACTGCTGGGAAGATAGATTTCTATCACAGTTTATTCTTTTGGGTATTGTTCCATTATCTGGGTGGATCCCAAAAGGGGTCCTAGACAGAGAAGGATAGTCCATTTTACGGGGGGGGGGGGAGTGTTGAAGGAGTAAAACTATTTCCCTTTGCTTTCCTGTTATTCCGCCCACCTATGTTCCCATCGTCACAACAACCGTCATTTATGACATGGGAATGGTGGGGGGATAACCAGCGAAAATTGGGGAAATAGTTTTTCTCCTTCAACTCCCCCCCCCAAAAAAATAGGCTATCCTTCTCTGTCTAGGCCCCTTTTGGAGTCTGCCCACATAATGAAACAGCACCTTGTTTTATTACTGCCCATTCCTGTGTGACTTGTATGTAATGAAAATTGTGAGAGCTTTGAGTTCTGTTTGTACAATGAATGAAATATTTTATTGATATCTTTCATATGATAACAATTGGTGACACACTTAAAGATCAAGAAGTTGTCAATAAGTAAATGGAAACACGAGAGAAAATAAGATTATAAGTGAACTAAATGGATAGGAATAGGCAGTCTTAGCTGATTTTTCAATTTATCTTTTAATTATATCTTCTAGATCCTTCAAGCCTGACTTTGTTCTCATCCGACAGCATGCTTACAGCATGGCACTAGGAGAGGACTTTCGCAGCCTTGTCATTGGCCTGCAATATGGTGGAGTCCCAAGTATCAATTCACTTTTCTCCATCTACAATTTCTGCAGCAAGCCCTGGGTGGTAGGTGATATTGTTGTTGTTTTTTTCTTTTTTTCAAGATTCCTTATATGAAATGAGAAAGGAGAGATCTTATATCTTTTCATATATTAAGAAGCTCAAAAATCCATCACTTTAGTTCATTTTGCAAACATGTTGACTAAAAGTAGAAATCTAGAAAACAATCTCCTTGCCAATTTTCCTGAATATATAGATATCAGTTATATAAACAATCCGCAGTATAATGGATTTTGGTGCTACTACAAAACAATAGGCTTCTGCACAAATGTTAGTATTTATACAGATCTGCAAAGTTGGATAATTAGTTGTTCTGTATGCCAGGATTGTATAATACCTTTGCACATAATTCTACAGTGTAGCCAATTAATTTTTGTGCATATGCAACCTACTGAATAGGTTGTTTGAATAGGGCTCAAGATTATCAGCCTATAAAGAATATGTTAAGGTGTAATGCTATACAAAATGATTTTGAATAAGTGTTTGGATTACTTAGCATTACATAGATTTAATATTATCACGTCTAGTAAATAATAGGGCTGGGCAACCACGGAAAAATTTGTTTCTAAACTCGATTCGTTTTTAGGGGGTTTTTGCGTTTTGATTTTTAAAAGAATTCCAAAATTTTTCTTTAAAAAAGTTCAAAATTTACGAAATTTCGGAAATTACGAAACAATTACAAAACAATTACGAATCGATTCGTTAATGGCGGACGCGACTGCGCAATACGCTAAAAAATCCTCCAAACGGGATAGGGGGAACTTCTGAAGCTTCCCTCTCCCTCTGTTGTTGACTGTTGGTGTGATAATTATATTTTTTTTCACTGATAAAACAAACAACAACTATAAAACTTGCACCAGACATGCAGAAATAATAACGAAACGATTTCGAAACGATTTCGAAACAATTACGAAACAATTACGAAACAATTACGAAACGAATTGAAAAATTCGTTTCGATTTTTAGTTGCTCCTGAATGGTTCAATATCGCTTCGTTATCAAAAAAATAACGAATTAATAACGAATTACGAAATTAACGAATGAAACCGCCCAGCCCGAGTAAATAAATAATCTTTTCAGACTGGAAAAGATATTGCTGCGTACCCACTATTTTTAAATTATCAGAAGAATGGTATCCCCTAGTGTTTTCCTGCAGTTTAGGGAGGCAGTCATTCAGGCTGGGTCTGGTTCCTCCCTCATGCTTCACAGACAGGGCTTCCAAACTTGTCAGTCAGCTTTGCCCGTCTAAGAGGGAGGGTCAGTCCACCTTCCCAGTTCTATACTATCTCATCTTGGACCAGGACAGGGCTTTTAGTTCTCCGGCTATAGTTGATTTGGATCAGGATTGTTCAGTGCAGATCAATATTACTTCTTTTGCTGGGAACAGTCCATCAGTTCCCTTTGTGGAGGCTCCATGTGGTTGCTGAAGGCTTCTTTTGAAACTGAACTTGAAATTTTCTGCATTCAGAATTTCTTTTTGGTGGTTTTTACTATGGATCTCAGGATGTGGTGCGCCAAATACAGTTCTGCTGGATTGAGCAAGAGGACCACCATTCTGCCATTTTTTTAAAAAATCCCTTGCTGATGTAACAATAGCAAGGATTTACCCTAGCCTCCTTAGGAAGGGACTTGGAATGCCTGTGGATGGCTACTCAGAAGACTTTTATAGTCTCACTAGGTATGAGTCGCCTGAGGGCTGAGAAAAGTGGTATATAAATAAAGTAAATAAATAAATGTTTGTAAAATTCGTAGCACCAACGTTTATTCAAATAATCATAACTGAATTCAAAATATGCCCACTTAAGATAGAATTAGAGACTTCAAAGGCCAAGAAGACTGCAGGAGGCAAGGCTTAATGTGTAGGAGGAACAATGAACTGCCTTAATGTGACTTATGGAGTGCTAAATTTTGAATTATTTTTTGACCCTTCAGTGAAATTTTTGATTTTAACAGTGAATCTTCCAGCATAAAGAACAATTGCAAAGCAGTAAAGATGACAAAATAAACCCATCTGAAAAGTACTCCACACCTTGCTGTCTTCATATAGTGGTCTATGTGTTAATTCAGTGCTCAAATTCCTACATGTCTAGGATCAGAATGGAGAAGATAAAATTGCAGAATACTAGCAAATAACCTCGCATTTACATGTGAATGGATTGTTTAATCATGTAAAGCTCCACTTGAATGATTAATCTTTTTCCTTTAGTGAACTCGCTTTCTATATATTTTACTATGCCTTTCTTCTTTTTGTGTTTAGCCTTCTTTTTATCACCCAGATCTACATTACATTAAAGTCAAGTGTTTATTCACAGAGGTAGCCAAAACAGTTTTATTTTCTTTTGCGCTTGAAATGTTCAGGGTTAGTGTGAGTGGCAAGGGAAAACAAACTGTCCTCTGTAATGCTGCATCAACAACCTGCACTGCCAACAATCAATGAGAATGGATGGGAGAAGGCTATTTTGTTTAGTCTCTCTCCCTCATCTGCTGATCTCTGAGTTCACATGGTGGTGACATGCTGCCAAGAGAAGATCCCTGGATTTTCTCAAATAATTAATTTTCTCTTTGAAGAAATAATTTAATTTATTTCAAATACAATGGTAGCCAATGTTGTCTAAGAAGCATGTAAACTAGGACTGTGCACTGGAGCCTCATTTGGCACCAAATCCAATTGAGCTACTTGGATCTACATCCAATTTTTATTGATTCAAATCCAATCTATTTCATTCCAGACTTCAAATTTGAATCAAGATTCAGGAATCCAGCACTGCTTCATTGAGCCTTGTATCAGGAAACCAAAAATGTTCATAGTTTTTTTTTTCATGCATCCACATAAAATTTGAAGATATTTGTAGACTCCCAAAGAGAGAGTATACCAACCAGTTTCAGAGAGGTAGCTCCCAAGGATTTCCTGCAAGGCAACGAGTGAAATGTTTTGAAACAAAAAAACAGTTTTTTTAAATAAATGAATAAAGTTGGCTGTTCAACCTTGGCAATTAATATTGCAGGCATGTTCTGTTTCTAGGGTTTTTATGATCCCATCTTTGAATCTGACTCAAACACATTGGACTTAGCCATTCCATTATGCAACCAAATTTGGTCATCAGTCGGTCCAAATGCATTCTGTAGTTGGAGTAAATTCTGAAACACCCTATTTTCATCATTATTCAGAATTTGGCTAAATCTATTACACTATCCTAGCACTAATTTATTGTATTGGTTTTACTATTATTGTTACTCATAGAGGTTGGGCATATTAATTTTACCAAAAAATCAAAACTAAGCTTTTTTTAATGTTTCAAGCCTTTGACAACACATTTTTAATGTTGTTTATTGATAACATCCCAGTGACATGGTGATAACTTGGTGGGATAGGAATGGTTGTATGAATTTTTTCTTGTTTGCAAATTTACATAGATCATCTTTTTGTTTTGTAGTTCTCTCAGCTAATTAAGATCTTCAATTCTCTGGGTCCTGAGAAGTTTCCTCTTGTAGAGCAAACATTCTTCCCAAGCCATAAACAGATGGTAAGAACCCTATGTGTGATTGTCTTTGATTGTACTGTGTGAGTTAAAAAGGAGTGTGAAAGACAGGTAGCAGAAGAGGAGAAAGATTGGAATAGCTGTATGCATTAAATGTAAAGGAACCCTGCCCAGTATTTCAATTGACAACCTTACTTCACCATTATGATTATCCCAATGTGTTTCTCCAATTCTCCTGAACATTTGTGCCATAAGGTCCAGTCTAGTTTTAGGAATAGTGAGGTAGCTGCTATAAGCACGAGGTATTTTTAATGTCATGCAAAGGCAACAAATAATCATTCATCTATTATTTTACAGTCAGGGAAAGGGAAAGGTTCTTATTGAATCTTCTGCATCTGTTGCCAGAATAACTGGGTAGGCCTTGAATGACTCCACTTCAGACAATAAACTATGTTTACTGTCACATTTGTCGCTTGTGATGCATGTGGCACTCATGGTGACATTCAGGAATGGAGTAATTGAAATTCATATTGACTGTAGAAATAAGGCAGGAGGAATGAATGGAAGAAGAATGTAGAGAGCCTTAGAAGATTGACAGGATACAGACACCATGCAACCTACCAATCCCCACCCTTCCTATAGCCATACTTTCAAGGTTGCATTATGCTTGGTTGCTATACATGGTTGTACTTAGTATGGTAGTTTTGTTGTGTCAAATGCCTTTTATTACAAAAGTAGTCATGTACATTGGAATATGAGGATGTTCGACACATCAGAGCAAACTGAGCATTTAATCCGTTGGTAAGACACCTGGAAAAATATGTGTGTTTACATCCAGGCATTGGAATATATTTGATTCATTGATTAGCAAGCTAAGTAAGTAAGAGAGGTTTAGGAAAAGTTATTGTGCCTGTTAAAAATCTACATCAATATTATTCAGTGAATTTTTGTTTTGAAAAATCTGACTCGTCTCTCTCATCAACCATGAACTAGATTCATTTTGTGATTTTTCATTCTAACAACAATCTAATGGACTCTAGAATGCTCATTATTCTCATAAAATCTCAACAATACTTTTAATTATAGGTCTCTAGGTTTCTATTATCATAGTATAAATTATCTAGAATGTATTAGTTAACTTCTATGTATTTATGAGAGATGTTTGGGATGAACAATAAAATGTTTAGGCGGTTTATTCCCCATTCATTCTGAAGAGCTGTAGGATTTATTCAATAAACATTGAGGAATGCCCTCTTTCACTATGATCCATGCATTATAGCCATTGCATCAGCAGCCATTGAAATTTAGAAGTGAGAATGTCAGAAAACATAACCTATTTCATGTGAAGAAGTGGGGATACTGGAGATGGAGGCTATAGTATATATTTTTTCTAGCCCTGAATATAACTCTTCTGTCCCTGGACAAAGCTTTTATTCTATCATTGTGCTGCCTCTGTCTGAGAATTTTAGAGAGGTAGAGATATCCTTCTCTTCCTTTTGTAAACCCTCATGGTTTCCTACGCATCCTCTCCCTTTTCTCTTATTACAGAGAATCCATTAAGGAGAGATAAACAGAACAGCTGCTTAATGTGTTTTGACTGGTAGAACTAGGGGATATCCAGAAACACCACCTTCTTCCTGCAATGTTCACCCTCACTTAAGGCTCTCTTTAGTTTTTCCTCCTATAATTCTAAGTGTCTGTTTTTGCTGTTGTTAAGGATGAGTGTTGGCTCCAGTTGCATTCTTGCTTGGTCTTCGAAACAAAGAAAATATACTCGGAGTGTTGATAAAGGAATTTCTTCTTTTGCTTATACACTTTCTACCTTTCAATTTGGTTTCATTTTTGAAAAAAATATACTGATAAATGGCTTTAACACAAATTTAGAAACATTTTACTTTTCTGGAAGACATTTTTTTTCTCTGGCTTTACACAAGAATGTAGTACAACAGGCCCATGGTATCCTCTGCAATTTGGCTCCAAGACCTCAGGTGGATACCAAAATTCACGATTTATTCCAACATAAATCTCAGAAGTACAAATCCAGAACTAGTGATCCTAGCATTACTAGTTCTCATAAATCAGAACCCTGAATCTGGAGAAAATTTTGTCAGAAAAAAAACATCCCAAACCCCACATTCCAAAGTCTGAAAAAAATAATGTAAAATTTGCCAGTAATCCCCATTAGAGACAGAAGGATAGTGTTTTAAATACAACAGCTAGTTCTTCTAAAATGGGCCCATTAAATTAATGGCCTTCTAATGGAATTGTTAACTTATTACCAATTAATTCAGTAAATCTTCTCTAGGTAGAAACAGCAGTTGGATTTCAGTTAAATGTTCTATTCAGTAAACATTTATCTTGAAGGACTTACATATTGGGTAAAATTAAGTTTCAAGAAAAGACATCAGAAACCCTTTCAGGAATCTACTTCTAGACAACAGTAATTTCCAGTTAGATATTCCGTAAACCAAGAACAAAAGAATCATCACCTATGTGATAGAAATAAACCATTTTATTGTTTTAGAATAAAAGAACACTATAAAAAGTGAACATTATTACTTTAAAAGACAATATACATTCAATGAATATAAAATTTATAAATAACAAAATAAGGAGGAAAACTGTAAACAGTGCTACAAAACTTAGCAAAAAGTACATTCCTTCTGGGGAGGTGATTTCTCCCAGACTAAGTTTTCATCCACTCTCATATTCAATATTGTTAAAGATGTAATGCATAGAACAAAAGACAAATTTACAGCCCCGTTGTATGTCTGCATGGTCAGGACTCTCACTGAAACCAGCAGTACTCCTTAGTAAGTGTACACAGAATTATATCTTAAGGTTGCAGCTGTATGCTGACTTCCCTCAAAGTAGGCATTTTTACTCTGGCATAATATTGACTTCTTACTTGGGTTTGCGCTTACTTGTATCTTAAAGTCTTTGAAACTGATGGGAAGAAGGCACCAGTTAACTTTGACAGATATGGCTCAGGCCCATATTCCAAGTGCAAATCTGAACTTGGCAACTTATAAAATGGGAATGATGGCAAGACTTGTTATGGAAGGGAAGGAAGCAAAGGTTAGTGTTTTAATCACATAAAATTATTAGTAATTTTTCTAATTTTAAGCAATGTAACAATTCAGCATCCTCCCCAAAGGAATGTATTTTTTGCTGGGTTCTTCCCCCTCCATTTGACTCCCCATTCAACTGCAAAACAAAATGCAAATGATCCTCTATGATGGTTCTTCATCAGCAAGATGAAAAGTTGTCCTCTGCTATTTTTGCTTGCTTAGCTGTGGCAGGCCCTCAAATCACTCATCTTTAGCAATGTAAAATCAAAATCCAAGTATAAAACAGCGCTTTCTCTGCTGGGTGACTATTGTATTCTGTATTGTATCAACCATTTACATATATTACAATGTGTGTAAGAACACATACCTTCTTAGAAAATAGAGAGCTTTCCACATAGTCTGCAATACTAAAATGTCTCAGCTATGAGTTTAATATTCTTCTCAGGAAAAATTAGAATGATGTTTTACAGATGCTATTCGGTCACAATAGAAATCAAGTCTTAGCACAATCAGTGAGCAGTGCTTCCTCTTCTCACTTTTTAAGATTTGAACTCAGGTCCGAATGATCTCTAGAAATTGGAAAAATTGTGCCGAGGCCAATTTTATGTCCAGCAAACTGTTGCTCAATCATCACAACTGTTGCAATACTAAACAAGATAGTTCTTTCTCCCCTCACAGCAATTCCTGGTTTACCTAAATTGCTGTGACATCAGCTAGTTTTACTAAATTCATCTTGAAAGAAAAGTGACTTCAGTGGTTCCAATTAAATTTTACATAGCAGGAGACCTAATATACAGACTGTTAGGAGACATTTTTCATACCTATTGACTAAGGAAATGATTTCCTGCTCTAGACCATGTGTGACATAGCACAGGTGCACAGAGGTTTCAAAATGTTCAAATACTCTGGCAAACATTTATATAACAAAATCAAGGTTCTTATCATGGACCTTATGATAGAAACAATCCTTTACCAGCAAGAGTTTTCTCTATAAAGTATGAAGAGATTGTCTGTGTTTGTGATTCTTTATAGAAATCGCTGTGCTCTCAGTGGATTAGATTGAATGGGGAAGCAACAACATCAGGCAAAGCCCGGTTACTTATTTTCAGTAACAGCCCTAAGGGTCTGCACTCCTTTCTGGTGAATTTGTACAAAGTCAGTCACAGTGCTCATATCACTCTTACTACCTTGACCTAGTCCATAAAATTTCTTTTGTCCCTCTTCTTGATCTCCAGAATTCAGTTCCATGGCCAGAATTACAGTTGAATACATTTTGTTATAAAGGATGAAATCTTGAGACAACGAAGAGTCTTTGTAAGTTTAAGATGATAAAACTGGGCTAAACCAATCCACATGCTAGGGCTAAATATAATTTCAGACTGTGGTTTGCACAACTGAATGCTTGCTTGTATTAAAATAACTTCCGAGATAAATGTAGGTGTCATCCAAAAAGTTTCACTTTCTTTAGGATATGCCAAATGTCTATGTCCTGTAATTCCCCATGCCCACCCACAAGTTTCCAATCCTGAATTCCAACTCAGCGGTATCTTTTAGATGTGGGAGTTCCAATTCAAACATTAACCACCCCTTCCCATTAGTATTTATTTATTCATTCCAATGGAGAAGGCTTATATTTATCTGGGTGCTTATATTTATTACAGGGTAAAACCATGTGGAATGAACTGAAGATAGCACTGTAAGACAAATAATAACAATAAAAAAGAAAAAATAATAACAATAAAAAGAAAAAAAACTTTCACCTCACTCCAGTTAAACAGTTGTCCATCCCATTGGTAACCCTGCTCTTTAACAACATTAATATGTAAAATACTTCTATTTTTACAAGATATTTATCTGATACTTTTCCATAATAAAAACAAACAAATAATGAATTCCACAGTGAAGATGAGAGAGTCAGCTCCTGCATCCTTATTGCCAGAAGATTAAGTGAATCTAAGAACCACAGATGTCCTTATTTATAGCTAGCAGGGGAAGGTATCACAGACTACCAATTTATTTATTTTTAAATTGAGATCTATTGCTTTAGAAAGACATTCAATGGCAGGAGAAGATGGAAGTTATAAATTCTCCATCCATCCAGTTGGCCACTTATTTCTGCCTTCATTCTGTCTACTGGTTCAGGAGAGGAAAAAATGTCCAAGGAGCAAACTCCTCACCTTTCAATACCCACAGGATACCATGAAAAGGCTCCAGTACAATGAACACCACAAATTACTGCCCTATGAAAAGTCTTCCGCTTTTCAGAGTGTTAGCTAACAATTTAATTTAAGAACACTGGGGATAATTTCATCACAAAAAAAATGTTGGAAGTGGGAAACATGACCATTCTTTGAACAACTGTTTGTATTGGCCCTTATTGTGGTAAAAGGCGAGGAAAGAAGTGCACAGGGAAGGAGATAACACAGATTATTATCACTACTGTAGGAACCAATGCAGTTCTAACACCTTTAAATTAAAACAAAAATAAAACAGTAATCAGTGACCTGGAATGTGAAGATTGTTGTTTTTAAAATAAAGAATAATTGATTTTTTTATAGTTTGTAGCATGAAACAATTCTGTGTCTTGTCAAAAATAGCTTATGTCAGTACATCTATATACACTTTTGTCCTGTCAAGCAGTGTTTTGGCAGCTGCTTTTTTACACTAACAACATTAAGATTAAGCTTTTGTTCCTTTCTCCCATCCACCCCTTGCCCACAGTCCAGCTACCTTTACATCAAATTTATTTTGTATTGATATATTTTCATCTACTTAAGTGTTTTTCATACAGAAATAGATACTGAAAAGGCAGCTTTGCAGTCACATTAGGACAATGTCTGGAGCTGTTTTGGTTCTAAACTGGTTTGCTCTACATTGGCAATTGGAAAAGGGATTAGCTTCATTAATTAGTGCTGATTTTTAAATGCTGCTATTTATGCCCTATACAAACCCAGAACTGCCATGGAGCTTCAGCATTTGCATTTGGAACGTGACAGACATTTTGAGAGGGTTCTTTTAATTCACACAACAGATGAATTCCCCAAGTGCTCCATCTTATACATACATCGCAATTTTCTTTCTTCATCATTCCGATGTCCGTCTTAAATTTGCTCACACTCTTAATCCTAGCTGATTGGATTTTAAAAGTTGTATCTACATAATCCAAGGCTGAATGTGTGAGAAAATAAACTACAAAGGGAGTAGGGAGGGAGGGGTTTAATTGTGATACAATAGTCAGCTGGGAAATTTTTGAGATTTTTGTTTTCCTACAAAAATATAGATTATATTGCCATATATATAGTGATATATAACTTAGAGCAAATGCTCCCTTATTCATCTGGTGTGCAAATAGATGTTCCCAGACAAACATCTTCCAACCAAAATGGGTGAGAGCAGTTTTTTTAAAAAGTGATTTATAACAAAACAAAACAAAAATCAGTTAAGACGGCATAGATTTTTTTAAAAAGTTCGAAGTGCTAAAATTTGCAAGAAAGAGGCACTAATATCATGGTTGCCATCATGATCTGGTATGAGTTAGTGTCCAAAGAATGCTCAGCCACATGGGAGAGAAAGAACAAGAAAGAAAATGTGTTCAGGGATCTGTGGCATTGATGATGGTTTTATCAGGAGGCGCCCATCCTCTGTACCAGCTGCAATAGCCCTCCTTCTGCTTGATGCAGGCATAGTGCTTGGACTGGTACCCAGGCTGACCGAAGCTGGAGAGCATGTCTGTCCACAGGCACTCATTCTTGGAGGTCACAAAGCAGGGAAGGTAGTAGCAGGGTTTAATCTGTAATTGCATAAAGAAAATAAGTAACAGGAATGGTATAAGAAATATTTGATACATTAAAGCTCTCTAAACCAAGAATTTCCATACCATCCTTTCTGAATTTAGAAAAGTTGCCATCCTGGCTAAACCACCATAGCTAGAGAAGTATTTCTGCCAAAGTCAAAAGTTAAGCATTGTCTATCATGAAAACATCCTTTTCAGTAGCTAATCTTTTGTTTTCCTCCCTCAGAAACCCATTCTCCGTCAGAAAAATATTCTACATATCCCATCCAGGGCTTTAGCAATTTTATCAATTTTATTATTAGTACATTTGGCCCGCCCATTGTGTTCTATTTCTCTATCATGTTATTTCAAAACTGTTTATTTTATCTGTTATTTCATGTATTTATTTTGATGGTATTTTTGCTTCTTGTATTTTATTTTGCTGTACTGTAATTTTGGGCTTGGCCTCATGTTAGTCGCCCTGAGTCCCCTTTGGGGGAGATGGTGGCAGGGTATAAATAAAGTTGTCTATTATTATTATTATTATTATTACTACTACTACTACTACTACTACTACTACTACTACTACTACTACTATTGTTAATCTAAAATTTTGCTCCTTCCCTTGGAATTACACTTTACTAAATCTGTCAGACCTAAACCTAATGGGAGAAGCCTGTTAGGTGCATACATTCTTCATTTCTTCACTGTTTTAATTTTGCTCTGCTTTCTTTTTGGCCATTCTTGAATATCTTTCCCAGAGGAGCCTTAGTAACACATACCTTGCAGCCGCATCCTAGGTGGTAACGATGGTTCAGTCCTTTACGCTGGGAGAGAGTCAGTCTATCCCACTTCTCATTCATGTTACACAGTCCAGTATAAACCTTCCCATCATAAACACGGCCTAGAAAACAAACATACAAATTAGTTATTAAAATGCCATTCAGTTGTTAGGATCATGAACCTACTAATATTTCCAGATTGTGGCGGCTTAAAATTTGTTGCCAGCTGTGAAAGCCAGTTCGGTTCCATGTCGAAGTACAATAGCAATGCCATGGCTATCATTCCAATGAAGTAACCTTGTTCTGATAGTCTTTCCGTCCTTATTTTTATATAGAACTTCTTGTTTCTTTTAAAAGCCACAGAAAAATAAGAAATTTGGGGGGCAGGGGTGAAGAATGTCTTAATTTTCATTTATTTCAGAAATTCAACAATTCATTTCTTTTGTGTTCAGAGTTCTTCCAACACGCCAATTGTGAATAAAGTTGACTTAGAAAGAGCAAGTTGGAGCAAATTTATTACACCAATTTGCTTCAAGTAGTTTGTATGTAGATACAACTATTACAATAGTATCAAAAGTAACACAACTGTAAAATGTTCAACTCTACAAAAAGCTCAATTTGAATTCTGAAATGTTGACAGTTATTTAATTTCTGTAAAAAGTGTTTTAAAAGGAGCTCTCTTTGGTGGGAATTTTTTATTTAGTTGTTATATTGGTAAATCACCTTATGAAACATGTTCTTAAGAAACATAGGAGATCAGATATAAAGAAATAGTAGTAGAGTTATTAACAATAAGATCCAAAGCAAATATAAAAGAATTGAAGGAATGACTACACTAATAAGAATCAGTTGACCATTTAAATTAACTAACATCAACAAGCACCAAAGTCATTATCATCGGAAGCCAAAAATAATATCACATTATTTACTGGATTAACATCTTATCGTTCTCTCAAAGGTAGGACTCACTGCAGTTCACAGTGAGGTTAAATACAAGAATATCATTAAAACACCAAATATGATCAACTATTTAAAGTCTATTTTACCACTTACAGTAATATTAGATAAAAGAATATCATTACAACAAGACAAACTATTTAAAGTCTTTTAATATGCACTTTAAAGGGCCAGGGGGGGATAAATCTCCCTAAATCTGGCACAGAAAGTCCATTAAAGAGGACCACCAGATAAGCTTAGTTCACAAATTGAGCTATAACTGAAAGCCATCTTCTTTGTGTCTACCTCCAGGGCTTCATATTAAGAGGGTATTCATGAAGAAGCCTCCATTCATTATCTTATGAAACAAGACTATAACGGAAGCATTATTTTCAACTGAGGTGGGGAATTCATGACAGGAGTTTATAGCAATATTTGAAGTCCTAGAGGTTCTCCACATTTGCTTTAGATATTGAGATTTCTCACACAGGTAACTTGGAACATAGCTTTAAAAGAGGGGCAAGTTTAATGCTGACTAAATTTCTGAAATATTGGTGCACTCGCACGAGGCTTCAGCCTGTTTTTTTAAAATATATATCTATATATCTACTGTGTGTGTGTGTGTATCTGAAACATGTCTAGCCTAAAAGCAAGATATAACAAAGAATGCTTCTGCTTTTTTACCTGTAATCAGATACTGGTACTTATTGACCTCAAGCTTGACCCCACAAAGACCTTCAGAAGCTTCTGTGTAGATATACTGAACATGTGGCATCTTGTCAAAACCTCTGTACATCTTGAAAGGAGAGGAAAAGGGGAAAGAGAAGCATTTTAATAAGATGTCATACAAGAATAAGAACAATAACAGAAGTCTGGCTTTGGAATTTTTAAGCAGACTGTTTATTACACTAGCAAAAAATGGGTCTTATACAGCATCAAGCCCATGTGTATCTACTAACTGGTCATCAATTTTATAGCATAATATTGTTCCTTTAACATTACTGAGCCTCTTCCTCAGTGCCAAACTGACATATGTTTGTAAGCATCAGATCTTTTCAGAGGAGTACAATTCCTAGGAGAGGACTACACAGGGTGTAAACTGTAGATTAGATTTTCTTAAACTCAATTTAGACAAACACTTACATATTGGTTCTTTTATAAAATGAGATTCTGTAAATTAAAAAAAGTATCTTAGAAATTTTTCATCATTGTTCTTTGATCCATTAGAAAACACATATTATCTTCCAACATTTGTTAGCGTGACGTCTTCCTATGCAACCCATACTTTGTCCAATACCCCGGTGGTGCAATGTGTTAAATCCCAAGACTGCAGCAGTTTGAATCCAAGGAAAGTGGGTTGAGCTCCCTCTGTCAGCTCCAGCTCCCCCTATAGAAACATGAGAGAAGCCTCCCACAAGGTTGGTAAAACATCAAACAACCGAAGGGGTGCCTGAGCAACATCCTTGCAGATGGTCAATTCTCTCACACCAGAAGTGACTTGCAGTTTCTCAAGTCACTCCTGACACAGAAGAAAAAACACTTTTGCAGAAGAAAGTCCTTACAGATTGTGATTTCCATCAGGGGCAGAAAACTACCAACAAGGCAATATCATTTTTTAAGAATATCTCTTCTACTACAATCCTATTTGTTAAGAAATTATTGTTAGAGAACAAAGTATTAACAAACACAGACTGGTGGTGCCTGGCAGGGTAGCAACAGTTTCGGTTGAATCAGGATTTCGATAAGCAACCCCCATTCTTCGGGATTAAGCGGCACTATAAAGGAGAGATCCATGTGCAAATCACATGGCTCATCTCATTTCACAGTGACCTTAAAAACTGATGTCACAGAATAGGAATGTTTTATTCCATCATTCCATGAATTTTAATAAACACCAATTGAGATGTTAACTCCTTTCCCCTTATAATGTTTCCTGTCCTCCACCTGAATATCATATGGAGCAAAAATTTTGTCAGCTGTGTGTGCTAATTTACTAGGCATGCTGGCAGTATCAGTACTCTTGGACACTCCCCAAGAGGCAGGTGGTCTGTACTCTTGGCCCCTCGCCTTTGCATTAGCAAGCAATAACAAAGCGTCATGGACTAACTTTGAAATACGATAGCATTTCACAAAACAAAATCATATGTTTGTCCAAATCTATTGAAAAGAGTGAAAGCAAAGGGAGAGGGAGAAATACTACTGAATCTCAATCAGATCCTTCTACAGGATACCTTTTGGGGGGGGGGGTTAAAAGAAGATTTTATTTCTAGAAAATTTCCTAAAAATCAGTGGATGATGCACATTTTCTGAAACTTGTTGAGCTTACAGTGGGAAATGTGTCCTCCAAGTGTAGCCATTTTCATCTTGATAGCCCTAAAAATGACAGGAAGGGGAGCCTGGGAAGTTCCCCCATCGCTGCCAATGAGCCAGATCTTCCTGGATATTTGAGCTGTCAGATTGAAAAACGGCATTTTGCCCTCCTGAATTTGGGCAGCTCTTGAAAAATTGGATGGGGCACCCATAAACCGGACACCGAAAATGGAACAGGGTTTACCCGAAATGCACACCTCTATTGGCTACAGAGTGTAATGAGTTTGCTTGTTTGTTTTTAATTAAAAGAACACTCACACTCAGTCTTGTCAAGGGTCTATGTAATATTAAGGGGGGTTATATTTCCAGTATTTCCCAAAGAATGGACGTTTGCAACCAGGATTATGAACTATGTTCAGTCATACAAGCTGTTTTTTTTAGCAATCCAAACTGAAGGTTAGGAAGAAATTGAGGACTTGATGAGGAATATTCATCAAGAGTACTTGACGAGTTGTAGACTCCAACATTGACCCTTCCCAAAAGCATACCTGAAAACATTGGCTATTTTTTATATCACTATAAACAGCAGAGTATGTTATACCATGGAGTCACAGGGTGCACTTACTACTTCTGTAAAGTAATTTTCCAAGTGCTGAAAACTTGTGATGCCAAGGCATATAGCTCATTCCTAAGTAGCCTCTTCAAAACTATACTGGAACTGTTTGCCATTGTTCAAATAAACATAGACATTCATCATAAGCTTTACTTGGTAACATCCATTAATTAACACAAGTTCTGTATCCAAAGCATTTGAAGGTTTCATTTTGATATGAAAAACCAATGTAGCTACACAACTAAAGAAAGCAAATGACTGTGAGACCTCAAACAAAAAATTCCACTCCAGGGAAGGAAGTGTGTAAAGGCTGGTTTTGGCAGCAACTCTTGTTTTATAATGGCTTACAAAACAGCCTTCACTGCCTAACAGCTTTTATACTTAGCTGGATGATGCTTTATCAAAAGAATTAGTGTTATTGGAATTTACTTTGTCTAATATTTTTCAGACTTCCATAATCACTGCCAGAATATGTGTTCCATTTTTCCCCTTCTTCTAAAGATATTAGCCAGTCTTATGACTGAGATGTAGCAGCCAAGAAAAATTAACCAGAGCAGATTTTTAGAATTACATAACAAGAGGTCAACTGGCAAAGGAATGTCGCGAGCAACAGGTTTAAGTAAAATCTGCTCATCAGCCAGAAAACACATAAGTAACCACTTAGCAAAGAGGGGAAACAGCTTTTTTTCCCTCTGGAGAGTCAATAGGTCAAATCTAAAGAGGCTCAAAATGTGCATGAATTAGTTGCCCCTACATGATTAGCTTGACGTAGATTTGCCATTCTCTTACTTTAGTTTATACTGGAATAAACAGAAACATTATTTTATTTAGGAGACTTGCTTGGAATTAAACCTGATAAATACATAAGTCAGAGCACAAGGCTTTTGCATGGTGGTCCAACCCACTACACTTCAATGCACATTACCACCATGTTAATATTGGATGCAGGCAGAATGTTATTCATAGAATTGTGGTACAGTGGAGTCTCACTTATCCGACATAAATGGGTGGGCAGAACATTGGATAATAAGGAGGGATCAAGGAAAAACCTATTAAACGTCAAATTACATTATGATTTTACAAATTAAGCACCAAAACATCACAATGTATTGAAACAGCTGTGGATCCGGGTGGGAGGCAGACTGTGTTGGATAATACAGAACGTTGAATGAGCAAAGGTTGGACAAGCAAGACTCTACTGTATTTGAAAATGATTTACATTTCTTTCATTTGCTACTACTTGTTCTCCCAGTGACATGTGTTAAGAACTTTTGAAAATGTAGATTCTGAAATGACTGCAGTTTTCTGAGCACAAAGCATCTGTTCCACTAACTAGCCTAACCAGCTGGTTCAGTTTGCAGGCTTACAAGGATAGATCACAGACTGGGTGGATGCCCCCTTGCCTTTGGGCAGGCAGGCAGAGGTTTGCTCTCAATAATAATAATAATAATAATAATAATAATAATAATACCTTATATCTAGACCACCCTCTCTCCCCGAAGGAATTTAGGGTGGTTCACACACAGACACAAAGCAAGCATTCAATACCTCAAGTGAGTAAAAACACATCAAAATGATAAATAATAATATAATAAAAACGACATGTCATTGGGTTGCTTCCCCCCCCCCCCCCACACAGATTTTTAAAGGTGAAAATGGTGCCAATGGTGCCAATTTCCATCACAAGATTAGGGAAATACTCTCCACTAACATGGCTCATTTTTACCAGTGTTTATTGAACCCTTTGATCCCTGAGATGGTCTGGACTGAACTCAATCCTTTCCATACTTCCACCTTTTTGAAATCGGTGGAAGCTTTTCTCCAAGTGTAAGTAGTAAGATAGTAAAGATGCAATAGAATTAACTGTCCATACCATCTTGTAACCTGTGTCAAAATTTTATTTTAACCTGCTCTCTACTTTTTTTGTGTACTTTGCTTTTGTTTCTCTTTATAGTCATGACCAAACAATCATCCTGTCATCCAAAGTTATAAGATTCAGTCCTAAAATAACAAGTCTTCCCACCCTCTATATATTCTGGTTTCTTCTCAAATGGTATACATGTTTTTGCCTTTTGTTTCCATATATAAAAATAATCTTCTGGCCTATATTTTAAAAGTGGTGTCCTGTATTTAGCATTAGGAAAAGAAAGTTTTCTCCCATTTTTGAAGTTGCACTTTAGCAAATGTGCATGTGAAAGTTGTAAAATCAAATAAATATTAATTATCAAATAAAAATACACATGAGAACTATACTCCTTAAATCTATGTTAAAATAAATGTTAACGTAGGGAATGAGCCACACTTCACACAAGTCAGAAGACAGATATGTATGGAGTATTGTATGGAAAAAATAAGATTGCTTGCACAGATAAATCACTTTTGGTTTCTTTCACATTCACTGATAAAGTGACCTACCTAGCAAATGTATTCACAGGGATAAAAATGTGTTCCACAACACCGAGTTTCATACATTTCTACTGAAATGTTCGCCTTCTTAGTCTTATTAAGACTGGATATCTCTAAGCATACCTTCATCTGTTTGATAGTGTATCGCATTGTCCCAAAAGGTCCATCTTTCATAAGCTTCTTCCCCACAACTTTGGCTCTGATAACTGTAACAAAAGGAAGAAACATCATGAATAACCCTGATATCAAGTCAATGCCATTTCCACCTACAGTTCCCAGATCTCAAGGCCTAGCTAGACTTTCTTCAGCACTGCCTTGAAAAGAATCCCTTTGAATGTGGTTTCAGGTTGCTTTGGAGGGGTTTCTGTACAATCTTCAGAGATTTCCCTCTCAAAGTTTCTGCAATCACAACCAGCACTAAAGCTGGACAACATGGTGAGGTCAGTGCCGGAAAATGAGAAGCTGTTGCAAGAGACCCTTGAATGTGGTTTTGTGGAGGTTTTTTTTTATTTGTTCCCTTTCTCACCCTCATCTTCTTCACTGTAGCGTCACTGATTGAAGACATGATATTACATATTTCATTTCTTGCAGGTTACACTATTGTCATAAAAAACATGATTTTTTTAAGCTTTGCTAAGGCAACTGATTTCTTTCTTTTTAAATTCTTGATTTCACTTTATCCTATTCTTTCTCTTTTTCACTGGAACCAGTTACTCCTGGATCTATATCTTCTTCTCCCATCTCTCATCGCCTACCTCCATACAAATCCTCCCCATATTTGTCTTTCTTATCCTTTAATCCTTCCTTTCCCTTATTTCTTTTGTCCTCTTTCTCCTCCCTACAACTTCTCTCCATTCTTTATTCTCCTTTCCTTATTCTCTGTTCATCCTGACTAAATAACTTTTTTTGTTCCTTCTCATACCTGGTTGCTACATTTGTCTACTCCCACCTTCCCCATCTTTACCTTTCTCCCTTTCATTCTCGTCCTGCACCTGTATCTTCCAAATAGATCAGTGGTTCTCAACCTGTTGGTCCCCAGGTATTTTGGCCTACAACTCCCAGAAATCCCCGCTAGTTGACCAGCTGTTATTCCAATCTGGAAGCATATCTAGGACACAGAACATTCTCAAAATTTTAAAACTTAAATTCAGTAACGTCAATAGGGGTTTGCTTCTGAATAGATGTGCATGGATAGGTTTGTCATGTTGGTTTCATCATCATGTTCCTCTCCCCTTTAGTGGAGGTAGTGCTGGTGGCTGTTAACATTGCTGGTATTGTTGCTTAGGGAACAAGCAAAGATTATAATTAAGTTTCCAGGTTGTCTTTGCAACAGTTATTTGATTTACTCTTGCAAGGGTAGGATAAGAAGGGATTAATAATCCCTTGAATATATATTTTTAAATGCTGTATGATTGTACTATTTTGTGGTAAAACCAGGAAACCATAATTCTAGTAAAAGGATATATCAAGGTGGGCTGAAACAGAAAACCCACAACTGACGTGAAAAAAGAGCAGTGTTTGCTTGCTCTTTTTCTTCAACAAGTATTTTCTACATATACCTTTTACAAGTCCTTACTATAATTAGCTGAGAGAGCAAGAGAGAAACCAAAGTTAATGATATTATAGGATAGGAAGCTGTTGCAGAATATGTTTTTCTGTACACAAACTCAAGGCAAACACAAACCTCTAAGTTCAGAGTCACTACTAGGAAATGGTGAATGGAGCAACTGAAGCAACTGTTCCATTGTTTATTAATTTCAGCAGAAGTGAAATTTTGTTTGAAGTCCCAACTGATCCAGGATATCTGAGGAGTTTTGATCCTTTTTATTCAAAAGGACCTTGTAGCATCTTTGATCTCAGAGAAAGAAGCTGGCAGCATAAGCTTTTGTAAACCAAGTCTACTTCATCAAATAAATCTTTATTAAGACTTTTGAGGGGTTTTAACTAATTTTATATTTATTCTGCAAAGAAGAGATATGACATGGCCATAATATAAATGCAGGACTACAGTGTGGTAAGGCAAGATTAGAAGTCTGTGGATTCTTCCACACTGGGGACTTTCCTCACACACGTTTGCATGTCACTACTTCAAGCTTTTCTATCCAAACCCTGCTTTTCTTCGTTCTTTTTTCTTTTCTTTTGACAAAATATATAGAAACAACAACACCAGTTGAGTGAGAGAAAAACAAACTGATTTTTTCTTATTCTGCCCTTGTTCTAATGCCTTTCTCCTCCCTCGTGTTTTTCATTTTCTAACATTCTCTAGAGTTTTAGTACTAAAGCTGTAAGCTCCTTTGCTTGAAGAGATTAACATCATCCTCTCATACTAGTCTACCTGAGAATTATAGTGCTTGAAAATGTCTAACAATGTGCCCTTCTCTTTCCCAATTTGCATTTTCATCACCAACTGTAACTGACTATTATATATGTGTGTTGTTGGGAACAGGAGGGGGGAGGTGTGATCTTTCTGGGAAAAGGAGAGTACTTCTATAATACTAAAGCTCTTGGGAGAATTTAACAAAACTAAAAACATTAAAAGGTGCAAGATTTGGAAAGAAAGGGGAGATGGTCACATTCCATCACTTGAGTTCTCCGATTATAATGGAGGAGACTGAAATTGTTTCCATAGTATACTGTCTTGTTCTTGGATATACAAGATGTTTTGACAACTTTTCCCTGCTTAGCACTGTCCCAATGTTATCGACTTCCACCTCCCATCAGTTTCATCTGGAATGTGTCCAGAGGATGACGACTAAAATGATCAAAGGTCTGGAGAACAAGCCATATGAGGAGCAACTTAAAGAGCTGGGCATGTTTAGCCTGAAGAAGAGAAGGCTGAGAGGAGACATGATAGCCATGTATAAATATGTGAGAAGAAGTCATAGGGAGGAGGGAGCAAGTTTGTTTTCTGCTGCCCTGGAGACTAGGACGCGGAACAATGGCTTCAAACTACAAGAAAGGAAATTCCACCTGAACATTAGGAAAAACTTCCTGACTGTGAGAGCTGTTCAGCAGTGGAACTCTCTGCCCCAGAGTGTGGTGTAAGCGCCTTCTTTGGAGGCTTTTGAGCAGAGGCTGGACAGCCATTTGTCAGGGGTGCTTTGAATGTGATTTTCCTGCTTCTTGGCAGGGGGTTGGACTGGATGGCCCACAAGGTCTCTTCCAACTTTATGATTCTATGTCCAATGGTCAAGAATATTGGCAACTGTCATCCAAACAAATGGATGATGTCAATTTGGAGAACACTAGAAAAGAGTATTGCCTGGATGCCTGGCTGATTGGTTAGTTCTCCCATCATTCTGATCTGAACCTCTGTAAATGAACATTAACAAGCACAATTCCACTTTAGTGGAACTGTATAAAACCAGCTTCTTTCCATTCCACTCAGCAAACAAAAAGCAATACTACATTTGATACCCATGAAAGTGTACAAATCTAAACTCAACATTTAGTCCCCCAAGAAATAGAACTTATATAAGTCTTGACTTCCCAAGGCATGTCTTCACAAGGGATCCATAAAGACCTTAAAAGATATTTAAAGGGAATTCATGATAAAGAAAACAGTAGAACAGCTTGTAGTCTAGTATAATATTTTGGTTTCAGTCACTGATTTTATTGTGATCTGAAAATAATTGAAGTCATATCAGAATGTGACTTAGGCTTTTAGTAGAGTTTTTCTTAAGACAATATATGTTTATTCAGAAAGTGTGAATTTGAAAACCCATATTCTGTTATTTGGTTAAGTCTTGGACTTTGTATTCTAAATAGTGCCAGGAGCTGTCATGCCAAAAATGAAAGAAAGGTAGACCAGTTTTCTTACAAATGAAAAGCTGTATTTCTAGGTGTCATTGTATCCGCCCACAATTGCAGGGGCCAAACATATGCAATACGTGTTTGTATTGGAGGTTTTGTATTCTAGGCATATTATTATTATTATTATTATTATTATTATTATTATTATTATTGCACTGCTGGGTTGACAGAGATAGCATATTGTAGTCCTAATCAGTACAGAACTGAATATAAGAATTAATATATAACTTGTGATTCCTCATAAAATGATGTATATATAATTCTGCATCATAAACTAAGAGCAACTCAAATGGAATATAAAATACACCAATACAAATAAGTATGTTAAAGACACCCTAATTAATTACGTTTTTTTTTTCTGTTTCTGTTCCATTTCTGGATAAGTGACTATGTAAGTCCTGTGGTACAGAGCTATGACATATAACGGAATAGCACTGAACAGTTTTTCAACCAAACAATAGCTTTATAGATACCACATTGTGAGCAATGTTTGTACTTAAAACACTGTAAAATTCTGAGCGTGTGTAGCCAAGCATGACCAAGTCCAAACTGTGATAATGGTTAAGCTTTCTGCTGCAAGAGTGCAAAGGATCAAGCTTTTAAAGTATATCAGCATGATGCTCAGGGCAATAAGTCAACAAACTTTCTTGAGAATTAGTTGCATGGAAATTACTAGTGCTGCTGAGGTGGCACAGTAGTGGCATATTGCTGCACGAAGGGGGAAAGCTCTTTATGGTAATTCTAATAATGGAGGGTTGGTAATAGTGGAAGTGTTGGTATGGGCTAAAGTGCCACCCTTGCTGGAAAAAGAAAGTTGTGTTAGTGGTGGCCACGCAAGCAAATGGCTTGAAATATCACAGGCAAAGACATTTTAGAAGGAGGCTGTAAATGATTAAAGCTGCAGTCCACAAACCACTTAATCCATCCAGAATAATTCCATAGATGTCACCAGGGCTATTCTTAACTAAGTGGTTACTAGGAAATGACAGCTTTGCAATCACACATGGTAGTTAGGTATCAAAAACACTTTTTTAAAAAAATCATTTCAGGGTTTTGTTTTTTTTTCTATGCTTTAGCAGCCAGCTATGGACATGCTGGCACTGTTCACCTTGCCAAATCCATCACCTACTTTTGTAAATATATCCTGCATCTACAATTAAGTATCCAATGTAGCATTTAGGAATGTGATATTAGTATTTTGCCAGTCATATTTGTAGAAGAATAGACAACACATCTGAGGAATAAGGAAGAATGACCAAAGGACATTTGTCACATAAAACAGTAAGGACATTTGCCTGTGATATTTCAAGCCAATTGCTTCTGTGGCCACAACTTTCCAAATCTGCTCTCAAAATTCCACTTTATATCTCTTACCTTAATATGTTAGGATATA